TCTCTCTCTCTCTCTCTCTCTCTCTCTCTCTCTCTCTCTCTCTCTCTCTCTCTCTCTCTCTCTGCCTCTCTCTCTGCCTTTGTCTCTCTCTCTCTTCGGGTACTTGGCGCTACCAACGCAGTACAAATACTCCGGAGGAAACTTCTACTACGACCCGTTGAAACCCTGTGACTCTTCGCCCACGCCGGAGCTCGGGCCAACCCCTACACCGGTAACATCGATACTCCATAGAATGCACTAGGGAACAGAGACCGAAATACAATGGAGACAGCGCGTAGTGCGTTTCCCTTGACATACTGGCGCCACCCATTCCATTGTAGATGTTAGAGTGGGCCATTCACTGGGGGGGCAAGCCTAGTCCGCAGTCTCTGATGTTCTGCTTATAACCACGAATAGTATTGGAGCGTTCCGAAACCTATTCGACCACTGTTTGGACTTGTTTTTTACACAGAAATGGAAATACCCACGTCGCCACGCCACAACTCTTCCTGACTGTTCAACTCTGATGGGAAAGGTTGTGGTCTAGTTTAACCTGTAGCGTCGACAGTTGTTTTCAAGGCGGTCATGCATAGGTAGATGCACAGGACGGGAGTTCACGACTGCCGAGGCGGTGTTTTTACCGCTTCACCCTCTGGCGTGGGAAAGGGTCCGGTTTGTGCGCGTGTGTGCACTTGAGGGCAGGAAGTGTGCAAAGCCGTCCTCGTGGGTTGAAAAGGGAGGCGTACGCGTCGCAACCTATTTTCCGCCGCCAACCAAGGGCGTTGGCTATTGAGCCAGGGAGGCAACAATCACGGGGTTTTTATGTACGTAGGTGAAGGAGGGTGCTACTTAGCGATCGATATCACAAGAAGTGTGGGGACGGCAACGAACTAAAACACTAACCCATCGCACATGCGCGCTCCGCTGTTGTGTGCCCAGGTGACCCTATCACCGGAGGTAACACCCGAGCCAACGACCGAGTCACCAACGATCGAGGCGCCAACGCCTGAGCCAACGCCCGAGCTAACGCCCGAACCAACGCCTGAGGCCACCCCTGAAACCCGTGAGTATTTCCGCAGAGACGCCATTGCTCCTGCTCCCGCTGGACTCACTCTGCTTGAAATGCAAGGACCATACCAATGTGAAAATCCCAATGGTCCCCACAGTTCCAAACGGAATGGCAACGTTACAATAAGAAAACCAACCTTGTTGCGTCCCCCTCCTAGGCCACAATCTCCCGTGGATTGGGGAGAAAAAAAACGAACAAGGCACAAGTCGCTGGGGATAAGTATCCAAATGATCACAGGGCGAATCCCACGCACACGAACAGCCGTCTCTCCTATGCGGCGTGCATTTGATCACCTCGCAAAACGAGAAATGGCAAGAACGCGTTGGAGAAGCGAGACCGAGCACAAGACAACCATGATATCCCAGTGCCACAATAGGAGCGAGTGTGTACACGAATGCATGTCTCTTGCGTCATTGCGCTTTCTATGCGGTGACGCCGACGAAAGGACTATTGGTTCACAATAACAGGGACAAGTAGCGGGGGGAGAAACGTTCGACACAGGCAGAGAAACAGCCAGTAACAATCACGTTAAGGAAGCCAGCCTTCTGTATGACGGGAGAGCCGAAGCGAGAATAACACTGTTGGGCGACCTCAACACTGGCGGAACTTGCTGTCTGTCTGGATGTGTGAAGTATTGGCAAGACTGTTCCACTAGGAAGTCGCAGAGTTCTCCCAAAGTGGAAGAAGACTGTTGGCAACGCGGGAGTAGAGACGACAACGGCGACGTGCATGGCGTAGTACAAAAGTAGGAAAATGGCCACCCAACGCCGGACAGGAAGGACGACAACGAATTGAAATGAAAGCATGCCATGACGACAGGTGGCATAAATTTTGAGGTATGCGACATGGCAACAAGTACACCGAAAGTACGAAGAAGATATGAGCACCGGGCTCGTACCTGATGTTGAAACACTTGGTTGGGTCGACCTGTAACGCCAAAATAAGCAACAGATCAGCACGTCACGCTCAACCTATCACCAATATTTACCACGTATTTCTCATGCCCGCACGACCCGGGTCTCAACTCTGTACGCTTCGAGAATCAGGTGGTACGTGCAGCGACGGTATTGAGGGCATCGACGGCAACGGTGTCGTCTGCTGCCCCCTCGGCTGTGGCCAGTGCGCGGGTTCGGGGTGCAGCACTGCTGGCGCTACAAATGGTCTTACCGCTAGTTCATGCTGCGGAGGGGGGATCAAGAGTAGCGGCAACTACTGTGATGACACCGGCGTGGCCCCATGCATCTACGGCAGCGCTCCCGATGCTGACGATGATGACGACGATGACGATGACGGTGAGCGCAATAGCACACTTGCCAAGAACCCTGCTCACTAGTGACCCAAGCGTTTCCGCTAGTTGCGGGTACAAGATAGCATTTGAGTCGAATTCCCACCCACCACGATGCCAAAAACATACGTTTACGTTGTATGTTTCCAGTCGATGTTGGCACGTGCAGCGACGGTATTGAGGGCATCGACGGCAACGGCGTCGTCTGCTGCCCCCTCGGCTGTGGCCAGTGCGCGGGTTCGGGGTGCAGCATTGCTGGCGCTGCAAATGGTCTTACCGCTAGTTCATGCTGCGGAGGAGGGATCAAGAGTAGCGGCAACTACTGTGACGACACCGGCGTGGCCCCATGCATCTACGGCAGCGCCCCCAACGCTGGGCGAAGTTGAGGGCGATGATGACAGTGAGGAAGATGATGATGACGGTGAGCGCCACAGCCCCCTGGGAGCCCAAGTAATAATGCCCGCTAACGGTAGTGACAAGTGCAATGATATGCGTAAGGATAGGCGTCGGGGCAACTCTTGATAGCACAGCCGCTTGCATCTCTTCAAACTCATCATCGCATTCAGTTCTTAAACAAGAAGTCGTTGAACTCGCCCATTGCAACACAGAGAGTACGTGCAGCAACGGCCTCGAGGGCATCGACCACAAGGGCAAGGTCTGTTGTCCACTTGGGTGTGGCCAGTGCGGAGGTTCGGGATGCAGCACTTCTGGCGCTTCGAACGGTCTTGGCGCAGTCTTGCTGCTCATCGGAGGTGAATGATAGCGGGAGGTACTATGACGACGCTAACGAGGCCCCGTCTATCATTTAGGGCTGCGACGACGATGACGGCAACCCTGCTTGAGGCGCGGCGTGAATCGGAAACCTAAACGTCAAATGCCAGATTTCCCGTCGCCATCAACCCTGTCCCTTACGGGGTGAATGTGTGCACAAGTTTTGCCAATGGACTCTGCGGTGCGGTGGTGTTTTCCATCAGCAACGGGATCGTGCTGGTGGGCGATTCGGTGCGTTCCCATCAATCGGGGGGCAAGCATTCTTCCGAACGAAATAGTTTTCGTTGTTCACCTAGTGTCTCGTGGAATCATCAGTGTAATACTATGACTTCGAAGGAAGTTTTTTGAGGTTTAATTCATTATGTTGTTTTGCCACACAATACTCGTGAGAAACTGTTGTTGCATCATGACTACTACTACTGTAACAGCAGTACGATTATTGTATGAAGTGTGTAGATATGCTTAGAGGCCACGTTTTAAGAAACGCGAATATGCATGCCTCATTAGCAGGTGGAATGAAAGCAAGGTCAGGGCTTGGTCCATCGACCCTGAATAGTGCAGTGACTTGCGGTACGGGTGCGTGCACGAATTTGTTGACAAGTGTGTCATTTTTGCATCGTGCTGGTGTGGGCGGGGGCCGAACTCATGTTTCACATATTGTCGCGCAGTCAACGGTGCAACGTGTCCGCATTTGAAGTTAGTGTTTTGAGGTATTCATGTGACACAGCACACTCATCCAAACCGGTTGTGGCACAGACTACGGCGAATACTTTTTATCATTGCCTGCTTCGAGGCCATGTTTTAGGAAATGCTTACATGCCTCCATAGCGGTCGGAATGGAACTCCGGGCAAGTAGGGCGCTGTTAATTGACCCTGAAGAGTGGACTGCCTCGCGTGATGTGGGCCTGCACAAAATTGTTGATAAGTATGTCAATCTTGCATGGTGCGGGTTGTGCGTGTTTATATTTTCAGCATCGACCGCGCTAACCGGCTGATATGAAAAGACGTCAGTCTCAGTGCGGTTGAAAACACGAAACACTTCTATCTGCCATGAACTGGGACCCCATGAGGGGGCAGCATGAGGGTCGACTCATACTCATAGGCGTGCATGCCGTAGTCGTTAGACCATTGACGTCGCATCCCTGCAAAGCCGGGACGGAGCACGCCGGGTTCTCACCGGACCAGGCTCTCACATTACCAAGCGCGAACCCCCGTGAGGTATTCGGCGAGTCGCATGAAGGGTGCGCTGCATCCTGCTAAGTTTGCTCGGCACCTTGTGCTTACTTCCTTGCCTACGGATGACAGCTGCGTATGACTTAATATATTTGCTGGTGCTTATATTTCCAGAGACAGTTGTAAGCACTGTGTAACTGCCTCGAGGATGGGTGACCNTTGCTCGGCACCTTGTGCTTACTTCCTTGCCTACGGATGACAGCTGCGTATGACTTAATATATTTGCTGGTGCTTATATTTCCAGAGACAGTTGTAAGCACTGTGTAACTGC